GAATCAAAGAGTGAGCCTGGTGTGTAAGCACAGAAATTCAGGACAAGGGCAGTGGGTGGGGCAGGGGAGATCACTGGTTCATAACCTTGCTTCTTATTTCAGGGAGGAAACCGAAGCAATTAGAAGGGAATGTCCACCTGTTTTCTGCTCCTTATCTGCCTACCCATCACCTACCTCCCTGAACATCCCCGAGTACTCTGCCTTTTCTCTCCTTACAATCTCACCCTGTGTCTGTGGAAGGTCACTACCTCGATCCGCATACTGCACCCGTTCCCTCCTTTGCTACTGTGCTGATTCTAAACTACATCTACAAATTCTTTCTAGGGTTGCCTGATCTAGCCAATAAAAATACAGGTCATCCATTAAATTTGAATTTTGGATAAATAACAAATAATTTTTTATTGTAAGTATGGCCCATACGACATATAGAACACACTCTGATAAGTCACATGTTTCTCTGAAATTCAAATCTCACCAGGTGTCCTGTATTTATTTCACCTGGCCCCCCTACTTGATGCTCCTTCCACTTGGAAGATGGCATCTAATTCCTCTCCCACTGAGCACAGGCTATACTTGGTGACTCCATCCTAACACATGGAAAAAAAGGGCAGGTGATGATGTATGACCTCTGCTAAAGGTGGTAAGAAGCACTGTGGCTTCCATCTTGGTCTCTCTCGTCCTTGGATACCTCTGGGGGACGTTAGCTGCCATGTCACGGGGATATTCCAGCAGTCCCATGGAGAGGTCCACATGGCAACGAACTGAGACTTCCAGCCTGCGGCCGTGTGTCTGAGCGAGGAAGGGGGTCCTCCAGCCCAGGTCTCACACCTCCAGCCCAGGTAGCCTTGGCTGATGTCTTGATTGTACCCTCATGAGAGACCCTGCATGCGAACCACCCAGCTAGCCTGCTCCTGAATTCCTGACCCACTGAAGCTGTTAGGTAACTCTGTTATTTCAAGCTGCTAAGTTTTGGGATAACTTGTTATGCAGCAATAGATAACTACTACACTTACTTATGGTATCACTCCAGTAATTGTCCTCTCTAACGCCAACACTTTTTTCTTTTCCTGGGTGATTCCCAGCAACATGCAGACATGCTGGGATTTCTATTTTAAAGAAAACCCTCTCTTGATCTCACAGGTCCTATTTTCTGCTCCCTTATATTCAAAAACTACCAAGTGTTGTCTACCATCCCTCCTTCTGATTCATTCTTCCCTATTCTGTCCTGAGCTACTCCAGTGAGGCCTTCCAGCCCGGAAACAGCTCTTGTCAAGGGAGAATTGCCCCTCTGGTACTGAATCCAAAGTTCCATCTAACTCAACTATTCATTTCATACAAATTTATTAGACAGCGTCTATGTGTCAGGCATGGTGCTGGATGTACAACGGTGAACAAAACAAAACAAAAAAGAAATCCCTATTCTTACCGAGTTTACATTCTGGTGTGGGGTGGGGGACAAACAATAAATAAACAAAAAAGGCAGTATGAGTATTTATGGATAAAATAATATGATATCTGGAATCAAAATATTTCCAAGTAATGGAGCCAATGGGTAGGAGTAACGATGAAAAAGGTAAGATTTGTTGTTAATTACTGAAGCGTGTGATGGGTACACAGGAGATGGTGAAGCTGTTTTCTTCCTTGGTGTATGTTTGAAATGTTCCATAATAAAAAGTCTTTTATTGGGGCGCCTGGGTGGCTCAGTTGGTTAAGCGACTGCCTTCGGCTCAGGTCATGATCCTGGAGTCCTGGGATCGAGTCCCGCATCGGGCTCCCTGCTCAGCGGGGAGTCTGCTTCTCCCTCTCACCCTCCTCCCTCTCATGCTCTCTGTCTCTCATTCTCTCTCTCGCAAATAAATAAAATCTTTAAAAAAAAAAAAAAAAGTCTTTTATGAGCACACTGTATCAGGTACCCGCTGCAGTAAAGGCACGGGGAGTGCTGGGGGCAGGGGCATGACTGTTTTACACAAGGTGGCTGTACCGTCAAGTGTGACAGACGTGCCAACAGCCGGCCGACGAAGTACACTGCAAGCAGAGGAAATGCATCTGCAAAGGCCCTGGCTTAAGAGAACGCCTGGAGTGTTCTAGAAGCTTCAAGGTCAGTGCAGTGATGACAATTTTATTTATTTGTCAGAGAGCGAGCAAGCAAGCACGAGCAGGGGGAGCAGCAGGCAGAGGGAGAAGCAGGCCCCCGCTGAACAAGGAGCCTGACGCAGGACTTGACCCCAGGACCCCGGGATCATGACCTGGGCCGAAGGCAGATGCTTTACCCCACTAAGCTCCCCCAGGCATCCCAGGAACTTTTTAATAATTAGAGTTGCAGGCGAAATAACACACTCCATAAATGGTACTGAAAAGAATGTCATTAAGATTAGTCCGATTATGTTACAAGATATTTGCTTCTGCTCTTCTGACAAATGGTGGATAAAGCTAGAACTGTATTCTAACTAGAAACTTGAAATTCTCTCAAATCCCATACACAGAAAAAGAAGAAAAAACGGAAATGACATTTAGATTGCTTTGCTACGTACAGGTGTTTCATAAAGTTACTATGTCCATTTAAAAAATAAGTTGGGTTATGGGCGCCTGTGTGGCTCAGTCGGTCAAGCATCCGACTCTTGATTTCAGCTCGGGTCATGGTCTCAGGGTCCTGGGATCGAGTCCCGCATTGGGCTCTGCACTCAGTAGGGAGTCTGAGTATTTTCTCTCTTCCTTTCCCTCTGTCCCTCCCCTCACTCATGCGTACTCTCTCTAAAATAAATATTTAAAAAAAAAAAAAAAAAAAGAAGCAAAAAGGAAGTTGGGGTATACTTATTATAGATGTGACTTTTTAGAAGGTTCTTTCTGTGGATTTTTATGCATAACCATCAACAGGGGAAGAGTTTGCTTATGGATCAACCCTGCAATAAAACACTCTGAAGTTTATACAAAAGAACAAAGTACATCTCTCTCTGTATGTCCACACTTGAGAAAATTAGTTATAAAAATCAAGCTGAGGAAGAGCCCCATTGGATGACTAAAACATGTATATATAGCTGTTTATAAAACAGAAAAATATTTGAACAAATATACCTCATACTATTAGGAGTTATCTCAGGGGGTTAGATGGGAGTAAGTTGTTATAATGGGTACAAGTTACTTTGATAGACCAATTCTTTTCTAATAAGAGTTCTTCATTGGAGTATAACATGCACACAGAAAGGTGTCTAAGTCGTGAGAGTGCCTCACCGCCCAGGTTAAGGGGCAGAACCAACCAGAGCCCAGATGTCCCGTCATGCCCCCCGCACACCCCAGACACTTTCCCTGCTCACTGCCTGGACTGCTGCAAACAACTTTCTTTTAAATAGTTGTTTAAAAATATATTGAGGCATCAGGCTAGGGATATTAGGGAATGAGGGGGATCTGGAGCAGGATTAGGGGAGAAGCCATCACTCAGGAGCCCCCGGGATGGTCCTGTTGTGAAAACCAAGCCCCCAGCCGTAGGCCGGGCGCAAACGCCTGCGTGTACTTTCCTGGTCTGGAGACCCACACCCGAGGCTGCTAAGTCATCCATTACAAACAAACAAGCTACAGAATATGCAACCTGTACTTCAAAGAAAGGCGAGGACTGTAGCAGGTACTTGAAGAATCTCAACCCTGAAGAGGTGGGACTGTTACAAGGCACTGATAAGGGAGCCCTGGGGCCTGGAGCGGGTTTCTGTGCAGCTCCGTTCACTATGTGTTCCCTGAACGTCCATCACAGATGCAGCTCAGGTCCTCCACCTGCCCTTTCAGGAACCTCCCAGAACAGAAGCCCACGGGTACCCCTGCCCTAGAAAAACCTCGGTATTAAGAAATCCGCTGAGTTCGGAGGGGTGTGTGCTGAGGTGAGGGAAGGGCGGCAGGTGACAGACAAGCTTTACCAACACTCCTGAGCCTCACGCCATGCTCAATGCTCACCCCACCCAAGTACCTCGTTTCACTCTCACACAAATGAAGTCTTGGGCTCACTTTATTGGCGGAACGGACACTCAAGGAGGTTAAACAAACAGTCAAGGCTCTAGAACTGGTGGGCAGCGGGGCTGGGATTAAACCCTGGGCCGGGAGAGTTTAGTTAGCACCGCGGCCTACTGGCTCCCCCCTCCACAGGGAGGCCCCCGAGAAGGCAGGGAAGGGAAAGAGAGGCCCGGGAAGGCCAGGTAGGAGTGGGAAAGGCCCTGACCCCAGGACACAATCCGCAGCGCAACCGCTCACCCCTAGGGAACAACTCCAGCCAGCAGTGTCCTTCCTTAACTTCTGAAATCCCCCTCTCTAGGGAAGCCATCAGCGTGGACACAGAGACAAGCAAGTGCAGAAAGGCTGAGGCCCCTTCCTCTGGGAAGAGGCAGCTCATCAAAGGAGTGCAGGGATAGGAAGCCGAAGAAGCAGAGCAGGTGGCACCAGGGATGGAAACAGGTGACGCCTCTGTCCCAGACCACAAGCTGGGTGGGCGCCCAGGTAACAAGCCTCTTTCTGGTGACGGTGTCTGTCCATACACGCAAGCCGCACCCATGCCGGACACACACGCACACACACACACACCCCCCCCACAGACAAACACAACTTTTTTTCTGGAAACAGACTGCACCTCTCAGGCCTCAGAAGTGGACACATGTCTGTACAGAAGCAACAGAGATAGGACGGGGACAGAACAGGAAAGACGTCAAGGAAAGACAGCAGGGGAGAGCTGAAGGGCTAAGGAACAACGCTGCGACAGGAGGAAGAAAAGGGGAGAAAGACCTGGCTGAATCTGGGGCCCCGGATCCGGGTGTCCATGAGGCCAGTTACACAGCCTGCAGCCTAGTCCTGTCAGCACATTCTCCCTTTGTGCTTACCGCATTTCCAGTTAGAGGCCAAAGAGCCCTGGTTCCAGTTGTGATTAAAGAAACACACCTCCAAAATCACATTAATACCTGAGAACTAGGGAAACCAAATTCAATTTTCAAATTAACTCAAAGCATGGATCTTTCTCAAAGAAGCTATTCAAATGAAAGTATTTATTTTTATAAATGTTTTCTCCAGCCAGTTTATCTCAAATTGCACTTTAAGAAACAGAAAAAAAAAAAAGGAAAATCTATATTTAATCTTGTGAAAAGTTAAGAGAATAACCAGTAGCTTCCATTTTTGTTTTAGGATTATTACCATAAAATTATATTCTTTTTATAAAATATGTTTTAAACCGCCCCCCCCCACATAAACAAGCCACAAACTACCAATGTAGAAATGCAAACACGGCCAACACGGACACCTCAGGCGACACAGGAACAGGGTTCCTGGGGGTCAACAGTGAAGGACAGTAGGCACTGAAAGGAAACGGTGCCGAACATGGTCGATCTGCATTTTTAGCACAGGATAACCTCCCATCCCATGTTACACATTTCACAAGATGGAAAAGCAACACCTGGCTTTACTTGATTAAAACTGGGAGGGGGGGGGGAACGGACAGTGTTTATGGGGACAACAACTTACAGACAGTGTGGGGAAGGGGGGCGGTTTCCAAGGCTGCTGCAGAGGGCGTGACGACAGCTGCCAAACCTTTACCTCACCCAGGTACCAAGAATTTACACGAACGGTTAACATGTGTCCCTCTGTGTTCGACGTGCTAAGCGATGGTCAGTTTGGGCGCTCCTCCGGAGCCACGTGCAGGACTGGTTTCCAGATTCAATGAAACGGCCGGCCGCGTCTGTGTCTGGACTTCAGGTGACCAGCTGAACGACGGAGGGTTTTCCTTTCTTGTCGGTGCAGCTTCTCAGCCTCCTGTTGCTTCTTCTGTTGTTCGGACTAAAGGAGAAAATTACATGAGAGAGAAAGAGAAAGAAAACCCCAACACCCCCCTTTGTAACCATCAGAATACCCCCATCACACCCGAGGGAGCAAAGCTGCTGTGGGCCCCGGGCCACGCAGTCTGGCCCCTGGACTCCACTCCCACAATGCTGTGCCATTTATTAGCCAGAGACATTAATTTATTTATGTTGCCCCAAACACACACACAAATAGTTACATGTACCAAAGGTGTATTAAAACCCACCACGATTAAGTATCATTCTCCAGAACGGGTTCCAAAGAATTTTTGGCTGTTTCCAAAAAGTCCAACTCCCCTCAGAAGCCTGAGATTTGCTGCTGTTAACCCCGGACAAGGGCTCAGCAGACAAGTGGCCTGCAGGCCCCCGGGTGGAGCGAGCGCGCAGGTTCGCGGGCTGACGGCTCGGAGGGCATGCCTCCCACCTTGATGCTCACGCTGGCAGAGTGGGGGGGGGAGG